AAGTTATCTCTTAATGAATGTACAAGGCACAGCATAAATATTACCATTAAGCAGAGTGGATGTGAACATCCAAACCCAGTTAGCTGGCTGACTGCTTTCTTATTTTTTGTTCTTTTGTAACAATTCCATTTCCAAAGTGCTTGATTCCCAACACTGATGCTCCAAAGCTATTGTGAACACACTGCCTGAATACTTAATGAAGTAAACAACAAACAAAATGGATCATCTTTGGTGCCCTCAGCTGGCATCCCAAACTGGATATAATTAAAGGTGTGAACAAGCAAGCAAGGAAGTAATGAACCTGCAAAGTCAAGGTTCTGAGAAATGATCGGGCATCCTGCACTGCACCAGTTCAAATTTGTCACTCATTATCTCCCATACCAGCAAGGAGCAGATCCACATGTTGGGACCCTTCACCACTCTTGTCCTCCAGCTTTTTTTTCTTTCCATTTCTAGATAGCTAAGTTAAGACAATTACTGCTTGTGACAACTCTCACCCACCCACACCCACAGATACCCTTTTTTTTTTTTTTGCCCTTAAAAGCTGCTAACATATAAAGGCCTTCTACCACTAAAATATGCTGAGATTTCAAAAATACAAAAATGTTCCTAAAACAGACACATAAAAACTCAAAAAACAAAGCCCACAATGTTAACACAACCACCCTACTTCCTCCTTGTGTTTACTAATGGTTGAAAGGTAGGTTCAGACGCCCCCAAAGACAAAACACATATTTTAATTTGAACTCAACCATTTCATTGAAAGGGCGACTTCTAGCTCTCATATATTGTTATGGATTTGCACAACATTTATAGTTTCTCGAGGGAAAGGCATTTGGCTCTAATGGAAGTCGGCAAGGTCTGCACTTTTTCTTTTTTTTCAGCCTCAATGCTTGAAGTTTTGTATTTTTCTAATAAGAAAAGAACTGGAGTGCACGAGGAAGAGAAGCCACTTCTTATGGGAAGTCAGCCCATTTTGATCTTCTTTCCATCTATATATGTGCACATGTCCTTGAAAGTAAGTGTACACACACATTTGGTAATACCAAATAAGGAAAGCCTAAGACAGGTGCAGAAATCCAGAAACACACACACTTATACTCCTACACACACACAGATTCTCTCTCCTTTCCCTCTCTCTGGCTCACACACACGCACACACACACACACTACTTCCCATATATTTATCAAATGAATGGGGGAAAGGATAGTAGGCAATAAAAGGTTGACTTCGCTTTCAAAACGGGAATTGGCCAATTTCGTGCAACATGGTCCATAGACTAGAAAATAGTACGATATAAGCTTTAGAATGTTCATGTCTCTTCCTATCCCCCAAACTCCCAATGACATTGGAAGAAAAATACTGCATTGCAGCATTTGCCAGCGCATAACCGTGTGTCTAGTATCCGCTGGCCAGCTCGCCAACAAATGTACATATTAAGTGTCCAGCATATAAATTAAACGCCTGGTGGCCACAGATTATTGGAACTGATGAAGAATTTGTCAAGGCCAAAGTACCCCTGTCCATCTACAATGACCTCTATCAAGACCACCATTCCTTACTTGCAGTATGCACTGATAATTTGTTTCAGGGTTTTTTTTTTTTAATTTAAATAAGGCATTAAGATGACAAGGGCTAACTGAAGCAGCATATCTCCTCATGGAAGGAACAGTATTTGGTCCACATACAGGAAGAAAACCTGGAAATTCCACCCACAATAAGGAGATAAGTATAAAGGGAAGAAATCGAATCAAAGGAAAGAACTTACCCTAAGGAAACCCTTTCATTGTCCATAGTAACCCTAAGTTGGGAAAATAAGTCAATTCATTCTCAATTCTTTTCGAGATATTAAACACGCACACAAAGCACCATTCATGCAATAACTTCTCGACTTGAAATCTCAAACACATTATCCCCAATAGAAATGCTAAGTTTAAAATATCTGAAGTCTAATGTGTCCCAAACCCTATTTCAAGACTGAGTTTAGAACCACAACGCAACTCATACCTCGTTTTCTCTTTCTTTTTTAAAGTATTCGACTGTTACTACCTCACAGCAAATGGCTCTCCTAACAAAATCCCTGAATATTCAAAGGGCCAAGGAAGGGCTTTAGGGAGAGAAAAAAGTTTTAAAGCTTTGTGCAAACTATCAGTCAGAAGCAAGCCCATCTATATCTGGCCAGGAGAATAACTTAAATGAATGGCAGTTAAGAATGAATGGGACTGAGATCACGAATGAATGCTTAAGTTATTTGTTAGGTTTTTTTAAATGAGATATTAAAATTGCTCTGTAAATAACTGCTTTGCAAAGCAATTTTCAGCTATCTTTCCCACCTATGTCCATTTTACACTTCCAAAAATTTAAATATTAAATTATTTCGCCATAGTATTACTAAACGATACATGGACATTCTGGTCATTAAAACTGAGATGTAATCAGGTTGCTTTTTGCAGAAATATCTTCAATCAGATTTTCATTTCTTAATAAATGCACACTCAGCCTTGTGCTCCCACAAAGGCACAAACACCTCCACATGCAGATAGGAGGCATTAATAGTTTTAAAACAAAGAAGCAAGAAAGGTCAGCAGTAGAACCACATGTCTTTTTTACAACCCAAGCCAAAATGACAGTTCTTAGGAAATTATTTCCCCTAACTAAAATTATCAAAAAAAATTCTCGGAAAATTAAAAAAAAAAAACAAGAAACTATATTAGGGATAGTCAAAGAAACTGTTCTATTTTCAAAGGCGACATATGTTTATACATTCAAAATATACGACAGCAAGGTTCAAATGTTGACAAAAATAAGTAAGTTTATTTATTTTTACCTCAAGAATCAAAACAAATAAAAAATTTCCCCCTAATAAGAAGACAAAGCAAAAAGAAGCATCTACAAAGAAAATGGAATGGGGGGGGGGGTAGGTGGAGAGTTGCCATGGGGAGGGTAAAAATTGAGAGTACTTTCAATAAAACCTGTTATACTTCCTAACCTTTTAACATATTTCAATGTTTTTTTAATCTCTCATTTTGGGGCTTAAAATTAGCTACTGATTGTGTATCTATTTTGTCTCCCAGGAAGAAACCATAGCAGATCACCGTTTCAGTTGTTTTTATGCTATCTCCTATTCACCGGAGTACTATACCTTTCAGACCTTCGGGTACCCATCATCATGGGAAAAAGAGATTACTAGTAAAGCACACTTAGAAAAAAAGAGAGAGATGCCTTTTACCCAGTGCATGCATGGGTCCCAGACGTTCAGATACACTAAAAAAACAAAACAAAACAAAACAAAACAAAAAAAACCCAGCTTTTCACTCAGTTTATGCCAAGATCAGAACCAGGACCAAATGCCGAACAGAAGAAGGCAGTGGTTGTGAGGGTGCAGCCTGATGGATCCTGTGTCTGGAGACATGGGGAGGAGGGAAGTGAAGCAAAAGGCAAGAGTATAGCTCTTCATTTATTTTTTCTTAAAGTAATTTCTACTCAGCATATAAAATGAGAGATGCAATTAACTCCCCAGAACGCTAGTATCAACATCTGATTTAGTAAAAATACCAGGATCACCTAACACAAAATCATCGCTTAGGGTAAATCTATTCTACTTATATTTCTCCTATAGATATTTGTTAGAAATGTCTAAGAAATAATATGCAGAACCTATCAGCTGTGGGAGTTCACTATTATGCTTCCGTCAACTTCATTCAATATAATTTACATTTTTTTCAGATGGCCTCATAGGAATCCTTGCGATTTTTTGCACGTACAATTTCACAGCGGGGGAAAAGGGGGGAAGAAAAAAAAGCAAGATTCCCTACCCTCCCTTCCCCCCTCCTTCTCTCTGTTTTTTAAATAAAAAAAAAAGGGGGGGGGAGACGGGACAGATGCTTAAAAATAGATTTCTAAAAATCACTGTAAACCAGAGTCAGAAATGTAATTAACACCTATTTATAAAGAATAATTAAAGTTGGGCCAGCCACAAAGAACGGCAGAGATAATCGAGGTCCTGTCCCCCCCCCCCCATTTTTTTTACACTGTTTGCAGTGTGTTCTCATGATAGCCACCTGCTCCCTACTCGGCTTCTCCTCTGTTCGTTTCCCCGGCAACCTTTCATTGGGTTTTCCTCCCAGCTATCGCTTTCAGTTGGGCTGCTCGGTCTAATCTTATTTGTTTTACACCCATCAAAACAAGCAGCCAGACAAAGGCAATCGTCTAAGAATGGGGAAAAGACCACAGCTTTGTTATAACATCTATGCAGAGTGAAAAGTCCTCCACGGCTTTTCTAGCGAAAAATGAGCGAGATGGGTATGAATTTACAGCCTACCCTCATAATCCAGCTCTGAAACCCTGTGAAAGCTATTGCCTGCTGAAAATTCAAAGTCAAAGTGGACACTCATGGCATCTGATTGTGCCATTTTGTGCCAACATCAGGCGACAGGAGTGGTACTCAAGGAGTTTCCCTGCTTCTTTTTTCAGAAAAAGATGATGCTAAAAATAGATTTACTACTTTGTCAGAAAGGTTTTCCACTTCCCCTTTCACATCCAAAAGTCTTGTTTCACAATTTCATCTGTTGGTACTGAATCTCACCTCCTCCACCCCTCATTCCAGCCTTCCCCATCACTCTTAGCACGAGACTGAAAAAGAAACGTGCCTTTAACTTGAACAGTCGTGTAATTCACTCGAAGGCTCACAGAGGCGGTGGACACGGCAGCCAACAGTGACGGTGACATTGTGATTGTCAAAAAAGACACCAACCTTGCTTGGCTAAAATGTGTGCTCAGTGGAAGAGGCAGTGTGTGTGTGCTGTGTGTGCATGCAGTGCCATTACACTTGGAGATAAATTCTGGTTTTCAGAAAAGAGAAATACTAATAAACACACATACACAAACGATCTGCACAATGATTTACGATGCACAGTCCACCATCCTTACAGACATACACACCCACCCACCCACCCACCCACGGCTGGAACCTCCAAGCTGCCTTCCTCTTTTCACTTACCATCTTCAAGCCATTCCACTCCATCTGTGATAAGAAGAAGATGGACCCTCACACAGTGTGTCAAAAGCGGAAAGGAACGTTATGTAAAAGCTGACATTCCTTCTTACAGAGCTGCTGCCCAGAGAAGGAAGCAACAACTCAACACGCCAGGCACCGCTACACATACAAGCCGCCTCCTCTTTTTTATGAGGTCATGACAGGAAACTCTTTGAAATACAAGATGCAGCATTTACTGAAGCCCAAATAAATCACTCTCTTTGCCGTTTTGACTGCGCAGTCCCCCGAAACACAACTGCCCATCTCAACGTTCAGTATCCAGGAGCTGCCTCTCGAGGTTTAAATTTCCAGCACGTAAATGGAGAGATTCCTAACCCTGCTGCATCCACCCCCAGCCCCACAAAACCCAGGCACGTAGACAAACCTTCTCTCCCTTCCAAAAAGAAAGCCTTCTTTTGCCATTTTGGTTTCATGTAATAAAACCTCTTTCAACAAACCAGCAATTATTTCAGCCCACCCCCCTTTGCCTTTATTTAGAAGGGAAAATTGACAACGACCTTTTAAAAATGACATTCTCTCTCCCCACTGCTTTTCAATAAAAGGACCTACCCGCACTCCCTACACAAAAGAGATAGTAAATGTAGGAACCAAAGAGCAGCAGAGAACTAAACTCTTGTGCAAGCATAAGACTGGTCAAGGTGTAGATGCTTTCTTCCCTCCAGCAACACAAACAACGGATTATAAATCTAGTCATACCTACCATAACCATTCTTATTGGCAAATATTGGGTCTTGCAGAGCTTCGACTCTTCTCTTAAAATTTGCAAAGGTTTCAGAATATATTTTTAAATGACTATTATTATTATAATATTTTTAAAGATCCACAAAACACAGTGTGGATGATTGTAAAGTAAATTATTTTAGGGGGTGGGGGAGACAGAAAGGAAAAAAAAAAAGAAAGAAAAGGAGCAGTGAGCTGAAACCCCCGATTCTAGGATGTAGATAAGAACAACTGAACAGAGCCTTGCTGAAATTGGCTCGAAGCTTCCCCTTTTTACATCCATTTATGGGACCATCTGTCAGCCAAAGCCAGGATCTGATTGGCTGGGGAAACGAAGGGAGGCGTTGCAACATCAGGTGCTATTTAAATTAGCTACTGCCAGATTGACGATGTTAATGATTTGGTGACCTCTACAACAACAGAGACCAGATTTCTGAACTGCTTCTTGTGTCTGGTAATTAAGGCCCGGCTGAAGCAACAACAGCCATACTTGTATTTTTACCTTTTCCCTCCTCCAGCTCAAAAGTACTGTAACAACTGCAGGTCACTGGCGGCTTGCAAACCTCAACGGTGGGAGTGTCCTCCCTTTCCCACGTCCTGAGGGTTGCACCATCCCACCCCTCAGATGGAGGGCTTTTCCCAGTAGAGAATATTTTCAGCCACCTTATCTTTCTCGACAGTTGCTTTCTAGCGAAATGCATATTTAATGATCTGCCTCTAGGCTTAAAGATACAACAAAAGCACTTTAATGTGCCAATACATCTACATTTTAACTTTATTTCCCAATATTGCTGATTTTTAGTAAGTAATGCTCCTTCTGCAGCTAATATTAGCCAACGTTTCAAAAAGAAGCAAGTATGAGATTGCATTTGCTCTGTGAACTAGATTCATACAAGTTCGCTTTGGAAAACTATTTCCTAGTAAACAAAAAAGAAAAAAGCGGGGGTGGGGGTGTATGTGGGGGCAGCTGTCAGCCTCTACCTTTCTGCCTTCTGTCTTAGCTTTTCAAAACAGAGAATGATGAATGATTTATTTAAATGAAATTATTTCTCAACTTGGATAGGGACACGATTTGAATTTTTTAAAAATCCACTAAAATACATTTCCCTTTACTTATCCTACTGCTATAGAGAAAGGTGAAGCACACTTTTGACAATCGCCTCATAATCTGAACAGAAAGCTCATCTTGCTTAACTGAATGAGTGATTTTGCTTCTTTCCTTCAAAGCATGCCTTTCTTCCCCCCTTTGGCCTCTTAAAAGACTTTCAAAGAGACATTATGTGTATGATGATATACATTTTGTCTGCCTATGTTATACATTTCATAACCTCTATGCTACCAAGCCTTCATAGTATATGTTTTGTTCTGGTTTGGTTTTTTTAAGTGGCTTACCTGAGGTGTTTATGATTTACACCTATCCAAAAGGCTACAACTTATCTCTATTTATTTAATTCATAATTTAATCAATTTGTTCCCCAAAATATACAGAGGTAACAAATATTACCAAAGACACAATTCAACATAATATTTGCTCTTTGGCTGGAATTGACAGTGAGACAGGATTAGGCAGAGCAGAAATACAGGCCGAAAAATATGCTACACTTCTGGGCTTCAAGGTCCAAGAATAAATGGGGCTGTGAAAAATTATTACAAAAGAAAATAATCTTTAAATTAAAAAAAATTAAACTTATTTTCTGTTCAAGCTAGTATTTCACGCACATACACATATACACACACTTTAAAAAATACGGATACACCATAAAATGTTTTGGGTATACTGCATGAACTCAATAAAAATAAATTCAGCTATTATAAATGAAAATAAATGAAATAGAAAAGTAGAAATGTTAAAAATATAACCACTTCAAGGGGAATATTACTGAATTAAGTAAACTTTTAAAATAATTTTTTTAACAAATGTACAAAGAGTCCTATGAGTCACAATAGTTCTACAGCCCTGTTGTGCTGTGTACTAAGGATGAATTCACAGGTTAAGTGTTGTAAATGGCTCAACATATGTACACAAGGCAAGTACGTGTGCCCCAAATCAACAACAGAAACTCTGAGTGCGATCTCACCAATATCAAAATATTGTGAAAAGTAAGTATTAGCACAATACTGACAAACATACAAATAAAAACAGCTCACTTGGAACAAAATTTTACTTTGTATTTCTCTGGAGGTTGATAAAAATAAAAGATGGAATTAAAAAAACCCTTTTCTAACATCCATCCTAACCTCAGCACGCTTAGTGAGCCATAAATTAACATTAGGTATATCAAAAGATATTCTGGCCACTTTTCCAAACTAGTAACTGTATATTACAGTATAAATAATAAGCTGTTTTTTCCTAGGCTAAAAAATCCATGTACTTTGTATATTGATCGCTCCTCCAAAAACCTCCACTCACTTGGATTCCTCAAACAAACACACAAATGTCCTCAGAGGCCTTTTCTCTAAAGACAAAAGCAGAATCCTATTGTCGGGAAAAGTCAACCTTATTATCGCATTTCCAATAGTACCATTCATCTTTCAGAGTGAGGGGCTGACCGCTACATTAGTGGTGTGACATCTGTAAAGCAACAGATTCTCAATATATTATCTCAAGAATCAGGCAGGCGAGTCTCGCAGTCATGCATGATTTTTTTTTTTTCTGCCACAATCCTCCACCACCACAGAAAGAAACTTGTTTCACTCAAGCAGCTAAGGCAACCTAAAAATCATATCCCAGAGCTGTGGGGCTGTCAGCGCCGCTGTATTCCTCTTACCATAAATGAGCAGTTTCTTGACTCATTAATAACAATTTCCCTTAAAAGAAGTAATCTCATATCAGTCAGCCCCTCGCCACCATGCACACATCCCAAAGGTTGCAGATATCTCAGCATCAGTCGCCGGCAGCCAGCTTTCCCATACAGAGTCCAGATGGACTGTACCAGAAGCCAATTCAGCGTTAATAACTACCTACTCCGTGCAGTGGAGAAGCCTTACGTGGCACAATGGGCTAGGAAACAGCAGCCGGCTGAAACCGCAAATAAAAGAGACAACCAAATTCTCCAAAAGCACCGAAAGGAAGGAGCAGAAATGGAAGCGTGAACTGTATTTCTTTGACTTCCATGAGGAAAAAAAAAAAAAATGAATCCTTCATAAACGTAAGGAAAAAAATGAAGAGAGGAGGGGAAAAAAGAAACACAAAAAAACAGATGCTGCCCAGGAAAAAGTGACAAAATATTACCTCATTATTTAACAAAGCAGTATTAAGCGTCCTGCTGATTTCAAACATCTTGCCACAGATTTTGTTTTAAGAGAAACAGAAAGAATCCTTTGCAAAGCACTCCGTTTGCAAAGGGTTCTTCAATTTTCTTGCGTGCCACGGAACAGTCAATATATTATTTCCCTAGAGTTCGAACATTGAAACCTCTAGTCAGTGAGCTGAATTTTCCCCTTATCTCACACACAGTAGACTCCTGTTATATGCACTGCTCTCTTTGCAAGAGCAGCCTGCCCCAAACATGGCTGGTGTTTAAACTACTCTTTAAAGTAACAGTTCACTATATAACCACCAGGTGGGTAGAGTGCACAGATTCAAATGAACCATCTTAAAAGACTGTTTTTTTTCCCCCTCTTGGAATTGTTTTTGGGTGTAAGATGTGACATGAGAAACGCCAGCATCCTAACAGGCAAGATTGTCTCTCACTGTAGCTTGTCAAAATAAATAAATAAAATTCCTTCTCCTGTCTTAAAGCAAGGAAACAAAACAAAACACCATCACCAATTCTAATAAGAACTGTGAAGAATAAAACACAACCAAGCTTCGTTTCATTCAGCAAATGATGAACAGGAAAATCCAATCAACACAGCGCAAGGAAGAAAACTGAAAACCCCATGGAAAAGGTTTCCTTTAGCCAAAAGATAAAAATAATTGCTCACATACAATGAAAACCCAGTTCAGAAGTGCTCATATGGATGTAGCATATACAAGATGGAGGCAAGAGTTTAAGGGTGCAACTTTTTTTCTGAGCAAAACATTAGGTTAATATGATATGTCTTTCATGAGAAGGAAATAACCAAAAGCTCAAAAGTAAAGATAATGAAAAAACAAAAACAAAAACAAAAACAAAAAAACCCAAAATCTTAAGCATCTTTTTTAAAAACAAAATTATACGAATAGTTATAAACAACCACAAGAGCAAAACAATCACATATCTCTACTCAGTGCTGTTCTTTTCCCTAAGACGTGCCTTGACACAGAACATTTCTGTCATATACTATTTGGGATGTATAGCTTACTTGGTGTCTCCTTTGTACCACTCTATTTCAATTAATCTGCTCCTCTGCAGGGAATAAATAGAATGTCCCAAGCTGAAAACGACTGTGGAGGGGAGTGCTAAAAGGATATAGAACCACCTGGACAAAAATAAATTATATCACTTATATTGCTGTATGGCCTGATTTTAAGGAGAGTTTTATTACTTACAAAGCATGCATGCACCATTCTACATTCTCATGTGTCTAAAACAGAAACCAACACACACAGATACCTTGGACTTTGTTTCCTTGGCTGGACAAAATCAAAGCCCTGGAACTTCCACATCCTCTCGCAAACTCTGATGTCAACGCGAGTATTTTTCCAGC